GCTGGGCAAAAGCTCCATTCTCGGTGAGCCTGCGATTACAGTGAGGGATTTCATCTAGAGAAGCCCCTCTCGAGGGAAAGTGTTAGGTTTACTTGCTATGTCGGTGTCGGGGGCAGGATTTTAACAAACCCATTGATGAGAGGAAAGAAGGCTCTAGCCCGTTCGGCCAAATTTTCAAAGGATGTCTTGGGTTTGAAGAGATCCTCGCATTAGGAGTGACAAGTCACCCGTGGCACCCCAGCCTCGGGCTCTGCCTCAGGCCAGCCAGTGCCCCTCTCCCAGCCCACGCAGCACCAGGCGTGCCGGCCACACACTCCCAGGAGGGCAAGAGCCAGATCTGTCTCATCAGCCACAGGAGTTCTTGCTCTTAGCAGAAGGCATGTCCCCGAGAAGGCTCTCAGTAATTAGGTCCTCTCCTCCTGGGCTGTTCCCCAGAGGGCCACTTAGCTCCCTCCCAAACCTCTTAACTCTGCTCAAATGCCGCCGTGTCAGCCCGACCACTGCAGCTGGCCCCAGGGTGGTGCCCCAATCTCACTCATCCCGTTGTGCTTGCTCGCCCCGTGAATCACCTGCTAACCTACCATAGAACGTGTGTGTTGTGTTTATTGTCAGGTCTGTGCTGTGCCCTGTTATATTCCCAGCACTGGGACAAATGCTTGTTGCTTGAGTGAATGGATCAGACACCAGACGTTCTACATCTATAACCTGGCGGTTTCACAGCCCCTCTCCAACTTCAACCCAGTCCGGCCCCTCACCATCTGCACCCCTGTGACGGGCAGTTTCAGGCTGCAGCGAGGAGGGTGAGTGCGCAGAGAGGGCCCAGGTACAAGAGGGGAAAGACTGGGGATGGAGGGCCCCTGGGGTGGGTCCTGCCTCACTCGTGTTTTCACCCTCTGGCCCTTGGGCACCTCCCGCCTCCTGGCCAGAGCAGCAGCCTGTGCCAGCCCGAGGGCAGAGGCCACAGGTTCAGCCTGGGCAGGGCCAAGGGTGCTTGAAGCCCGGGGCAGGTGCAGCCTGGATTGGGTTTCCTGAGCTATATATATAGATAGATATAAAGGCTTCCAGGAGCCCCAGGGCCGGCCGCTCCCTGAGGGTGCAAGGCGGTGTGGGCTGGCCAGGCCGGCATTCCTGCCCAGAGGCCATTCTCCATTTATAGCCCCTAGGCAGGCCGGCCAAGGGAGCTGAGTAGAGAGGACTGGAAAGGGCAGAGGGAAAAGGCGGCACCCCAGGCAGCCCCCCTTCCCCACCTCCAGCACAGGAGCCCCTCGTGGCGAAGACAGGAGAACCAAGGCCCAGAGCCCAGAGCCCAGCAGTCTGCACAGGCCTCGACTGGCCCAAGAGGGACCTGAGAACCCCACCTCACCCCGAGCCCTTCTGGCTTTTGCCGAAAGTCTCTCCAGAGCAAGAGGAAGCTGGACTAGACTCTGCGGTACAAGAACACGATACTCTCAGCTTCCAGAATGGATGCAGTTCTCTCTGCCCCCAACTCAGCACTAGGGCTAAAGGGATGCCAGGACAAATCAAGTTCAAAACTGTCAAAGCAGCTTTGGTTTATAACCTGCGAGTGATAAGACAGTAAATCTCTTTGATAAGTTCGAACACACAACATTTGCTTATTGTAAAGGCACCTTGATAACTGTCTCAGGGAAGTTTTTATGAACACAAAACACAAAAAAGCAAAGTTGTAATCACTTAAGTCTCAACTTATTTCTATATTTTCTTTGCTTATATTTGAGAAAAACCTAGATGAGTGTAGACAAGTGTTTTAGAGAGCTCACCTGAAAACCTCAGGGTGCCATCTGTTACATGGATTCACCCACCAAACATTTATTGAGTGCCTACCAGGCATCAGGCATTTTGTCGAGGCCCAAACAAATAGGAAGAAATACTTGCTGCAGTCTAAATAATTAATAGAACCATTATTTCCATTTCTCATTGTGAGTAAAAGCCAAATGTAAAAACTTAAGCTCTTCCTGGGTGCCAAATCTCTCGACTGCACGCTACTACTGGACTGCAGCAGGCCGCGTGTCGTGGCGCAGTGTGAGGGTGCCTGCCCCGGGCAGAGGGACCTGAGCTTGCTCTGGGTGACAGGGCAGATATGTTTAGTCACGTACGTGACTGTGCAGTTCTGAAGAAATACAACCACACTCATGCTGACACACTTCACTGAGTTCTCATATGAAAGGACTTTAAAAAGTTCATGGAAAAGTAAAATTTTTAAAAAGTTGATTTGATTCAAAAAATGTTGAAATGCACATTTTTTCATACTACAAGCTTCCAAGAACTTTTTGAAGATCATTCTTCTATGCGTAAAGCTCCAAATGGCACGAGACCACCATTTCATTCATCTGACACTCACCAAGTAGCTACTGCGTGAATGTTGGTGAACTGAACATCTTTGCCTTCATGGGGCCACGTCAGTTGATGAAGAAATGAATAAAGGAGAGGATTTCTAAAGCGGTGCATGTTGCGGTGCAGCAGGCTAAGCTGTCACTTGGGAAGCCCACATCCCGTATCAGAGGGATTGGTTCAAAGCCCTGGCTACTCCATACTTCTGATCCAGTCTCCAGCTAACGCACCTGGGAGGCAGCAGATAACAGCCCAGGTACTTGGGTTCCTGCCACGCGCATGGGAGACCCAGATGGAGTTCCTGGCTTGCTCTCTCTCTCTCTGCCTCTGCCTTTCTGAAACTCTGCCTTTCAAATAAACAAATAAATAAATCTTGAAAAAATTTCACCAAAAAAAAAATGCAGCCAGAATTCAACCACTTTTCTCCAACTCCACTGCTGCCACTGAATTCCAAGCTACCATCCTCACTCACTCGGATGCCTGCAGTGACCTCCTAATTCATCTCCCTGCTTCTGCCCCTGCCCCCCAGAAATCAGCATGCTGCTGTTAACATGTGAGGTCGGGTTCTTTCCTTCTCCTAAAGCCCCCCCACTGCAGCTTTCCATCCCAGAATACAATTCCTTCTCTCCCTTTCTGACCCCATCTCTCACCACCTCCCGCCTTGTTCACCCTGCTCCAGACAACCCAGCCTCTTTGCTATATTTCAAACTGTAAGACACAGCCCTGCCTCGGGACCTTTGCACGTGCGGTCCCTCTATCTGGCCTCACATAGATGTGGCTTTCTGCTTCCCCTCTGGTCAGATGTAATCAGCCCACAAAGGCCTTCCCTGAGCACTCCACATAATGAAAGCATCCTCATGCTTTGCTCCTTTGTTTCCTGTTTCTTCCTAGATCCTGTAACCCCCTAACACTCTGTCATTCTTTGCTTGTTTATTTATGATTTTTCACCTTGTCCCATAATGTAAGCACCAGGCGCGCAGGGTCTTGGCTTTGTTTACTGCTGGATTCCCTACACCTGGCCCAGTGCAGAATACTCCATAACGTGTGCTGAATGAGTAAATGGAGGAGGTGGTATGAAGTGGGGGTGGGGGGTGAGGGAGGGCCCTTCAGCACCACTGGCAGGGTGGGAGATGCAGTTAGGGCCCCTGAGCGCCTTCTTCCCAGAACAGCCAGGAAGGAGGCCTTCCCGAAGGTGGTGGGAAAGGCACTTCAAACTTCAATGACCGGATTCCAGAAGGGGTGAATGGTGGAGAGCAATTTGCAGCCCGAGCAGGGAGAGGAGGGTGAGGACTGCAGATTCAGGAAGATGTTGTGAGGCCCCATGGGGGGCGGAGGGGTGTGCTGAGGCTTGTAGGGGAGCCAGATTTGGGGCGGCTGCCTGCTCCTTCTGCTTCCAGCCTCTCCAGGATGCCTGCAAGGGAGCAACACGGCTGAGGCTTCTGCAGGAGCCGAGCCTGGGGATTGCTTGGGCACCTTCCGGGGCTTTGTGCCCCAGGGGAGGGCTAGGGAGCCCACTGGGCACACTGCTGCAGCTGGTGCTCAGGACAGAGCAGGCCCTCTGACTACCATGGCCCTGCACCTCGGACCGAGGACTTCTGCATCCTTGATCTCTCCAGCTTCTCAGCACTAAGCAACTGCCCCAAGAAAGTCCTCCTATCCCCATATTGAAGCAAACGGCAACTGAGGCTGGGGAAGGAGGTGTGGCTTCCACAGAATCACACAGCTGGGAAACTGGGGATTTGGGTCCCCCCTGGTGGGCAAATGCCATTCTCAAAGAGTTCTCAGGCCAGGTCCCCGCCTCGAGGATCTCTGCGAAAGGCATTTCCCGGGTCTGCGGGGGGTCTGGAGCAGACGCAAGCCCTGCGCAAAGGGAGTTCACTTCCCAGCCCAGGAGGCTCTCAGCCTAGCCCCAGGGACACCCGGCGTCAAGGGCGAGGGTGGGCTGGGCGTGAGTCCACCTCACTGCCTGCAGACCCCGCACGACCCGAGTTCGGAGAGAGGGGCTAGATTAAGCTCCAGCAGCGAGATCCACGCCCGAATAGACGCAGCTGGGTTTCTCAGCGTTCAGGAAAGACGAGCAGGGCCCGCGCAGCCCTCTGAGTGACTCTCAGGACAGGGACAGGGACTGGCCGAGTGGCTCTGCCCCCGCGTCCGGTGCGTCTCTGCCTGGCCCCTCCGTCTCTGGGCCTCTTTGGTGGTGGTGGTGGGGTCTCGCCTTTGCACCACCTCAGCCCTAATTGTGTCTCTGCCCCATTACTTTGCATCTCTCTCAAATCTCTCCTGATCTCATTTCTGCCCCGGCTCTGCTCCTGGTTTCCGCACAAATACGGGACCGAGTAAGAGCCAAACTCCGCCCGGAGGGAAGTGAGCGCCCAGGGCCAGCGTTTCCCGCGAACACAGGAGTCGCGTGTTGGAAAGGGTGTGCCTAGGAGCCAAGCGCAGCGGGTCAGGCTGCCAGTCTGCCGCGCTCCCTGCTCCGGGAGGGACCGGAGTGCGCGCGCGCGCGCTGGTGTCCACGGGCGGGAGGGGGGCCACTCTCTCGCCCTGGCGGCCACCCCGAGGACCCAGAGCTCCGCCCTCCTCTGTTCCTATTGGCCTCGTGCTCCCCCGCCCCCGCCCCCTCAACCGGCTTGGGCTCCCGGGGCGCTTAGGCTACTACGGATAAATAGCCCGGGGCGCCTGGCACTAAGCTAGGGCCGGGGAAGCCCCAGGGCACTGCCGCCGCTCTGCTCGCCGCAGGTCCAGCTGGCCAGGACGCGGCGGGGTGGCGGACAGTCGGGTGTGCCCTCAGACCCCCGGCACTCTGCCATCGCACGGCTGGGGTTCCCCAGCGACAGAAAGTTCCGGGCAACCCCTGCCGCCCGGGTTGGTGAGGCCGGGCCCGCGCCGCCCTGCGCTGGGACATGGAGCTGCTGTCGCCGCCGCTCCGAGACGTGGACTTGACGGGCCCCGACGGCTCCCTCTGCTCCTTTGCCGCAGCGGACGACTTCTATGACGACCCGTGTTTCGACTCCTCGGATCTGCGCTTCTTCGAGGACCTGGATCCGCGCCTGGTGCACGTGGGCGCGCTCCTGAAGCCCGAGGAGCACACGCATTTCCCCGCCGCCGTGCACCAGGCCCCGGGCGCGCGCGAGGACGAGCATGTGCGCGCGCCCAGCGGGCACCACCAGGCCGGCCGCTGCCTGCTGTGGGCCTGCAAGGCGTGCAAGCGCAAGACCACCAACGCTGACCGGCGCAAGGCCGCCACCATGCGCGAGCGGCGCCGCCTGAGCAAAGTGAACGAGGCCTTCGAGACGCTCAAGCGCTGCACGTCCAGCAACCCCAACCAGCGGCTGCCCAAGGTGGAGATCCTGCGCAACGCCATCCGCTACATCGAGGGCCTGCAGGCTCTGCTGCGCGCCCAGGACGCCGCGGGCCCTGGCGCCACCGCCTTCTACGCGCCCGGCCCACTGCCCCCAGGCCGCGGCGGCGAGCACTACAGCGGCGACTCGGACGCGTCTAGCCCGCGTTCCAACTGCTCCGACGGCATGGTAAGGCCTGGACGCCAGGCGGAAGGAGGGGAGGCAGCCCTGGGGCGTGGGGGTGGGGGAAGGAGTGGGTGGGTCTGGAGCCTTTCCCGAGGGCGGGGAGCTGGCCCTCGCGACAGGCATGGGCGGACAGGGGCCCGACCCAGAAGTGGACTCGCGTGGCTCCGGCGGCTGTCGCTGAGGTAGCCTAGGGCTTTGGAAGCACGCAGGACGGGTACAGTCGGCACGGCTGGGACGCTGTTACAAAACTTGTTGAGGGATCTGCTCCTTTCCTCCATGGATCCCTGTTTCCAAAATGCAGATCTGAGTCCTGCCTCGTTTGGCTCTGGACTCTGCGGTGCGCGGCTCCTGTCCACCCAGGACAGATCCGGGACCAGAAGCCCTCGGCTGAGTCTCGGGGAGCTGGGGAGGGGGTTGCTCCTGGGAGTGGCGCTCCGGTCCCGCGGGCCTGACGCGGTCCCCCCAACCCTTTGCAGATGGACTACAGCGGCCCCCCGAGCGGCGCGCGGCGGCGGAACTGCTACGACGGCGCCTACTACAGCCAGGCGCCCAGCGGTGCGTATCCCGCGCCTCCTCCATGTCCCTCTCCCAGCCGCCCTGGCTTCCCTCCACCTAGGACCCCCCCAACCCCGCCCCACATAGCCTGGCAATGGTGCGGGGGATGAAGCCCTGGCGGGTCGCGTGCCCTGCCGTCGTCCCGCACCCTCGCTGGATGGTTTCAGACTCCCGCAAGTCCTCCGAAGCACAAGGGGGCTCAGGGGTGGAGGAGGTAGCCGCGGCTCCACCCCTGCTCACTCCCCTGCCCTCCCCGCGCAGAACCCAGGCCCGGGAAGAGTGCCGCCGTGTCCAGCCTTGACTGCCTGTCCAGCATCGTGGAGCGCATCTCCACGGAGAGCCCCGCTGCGCCCGCGCTCCTGCTGGCGGACGCGCCACCGGAGTCGCCCCCTCGCCAGCAGGAGGCGGCCGCCGAGAGCGAGGGCGAGCGCGGAGCACCCACGCCGGCCCCGGACACCGCCCCGCGGTGCCCTGCGACCGCAAACCCCAACCCCATCTACCAGGTGCTCTGAAGGGGAGGGCTGCCTCGTGCAAGGGCGCCGCTGCCTACGCGCCCGAGGGACGGAGCCCCTGGGGTTCCTTCGTGCCCCCAAGATTGAGCTTAAAGCGACCCTCCGCCCCCTCCTCCGCGGTGGCAGAGACGGGGGGAACCCGGTCCCCGGCCCCAGGGCGAGCTCACGGTGGGTGTCTTCCACGCCGCGCCTGCCCTGGCCGCTGGGCGATCGCCTGCAAGCCGGGGCTGATCCTTCCGCTTCCTCGACGCCTCCCCAGTAGGGGGAACTGGATCGCCGCGGACCCAAGCCCGGCCCCGCCCCACCTCCGTAGCTACATCCTTTCAAGCTCCTCCCATCGCACCTGCGGGATGCGCGCCAGTCCCGCAGGTAACCCACCCCAACCCCGCCCTCCGGTTCAGGACCACTTTTTATAATACTTTTTTGTAATCTATTCCTGTAAATAAGAGTTGCTTTGCCAGAGCAGGAGCCCCGAGGGCTGTATTTATCTCTGACGCATGGTGTGCGGTGCAACGGCGACTTTCTATGTTTATACGGCAGGCGGGCGAGCCGCGGGCGCTCGCTCAGGTGTTCGAAATAAAGACGCTAATTTATGCCGCGGTGGCTCCGGCTTTCCCCGGGCTCGGGGGCGGGATCCGGAGGAAAACCCGCGAGCTGGGCCAGCTGTCTCGCAGCGACCCCTACAGGCGACAGGCAGATTGCAAGGAGGAAGACCGCTCAGGGTCGAGGGAGTGGGGATGCCTCCAGAACACACGCTGGGGTTTCTCTGAGTTTGATCTGCATCACACGCAAGGCGGTGGCTCTCATGGAAGCGTGCACATCATATGGATAGCATTAGGTGAAAAGAATCCGTGCCTTGCCCCGCCCCCAGCCGCAGGGATTCTGATGAATGAATCTACTCCAGATCCCCAGGGGGCGCCCCCAGCTGATTCTGAAGGGTGTGCAAAGCTGAGAACGATGCCCCTGCACCCCACAGGATGACCCCAGGTGTCTCCTGAAGGGTCACGGAAAGGCGGTGGCCTCAGGTGCCACATGGAGTCCTAACGGAGTGCAGGCTGGGATGGGGTGCTCACTACAGGGGTGATGTGGGCTGCAGGGTCCCTCCAGGCTTGTACTGATAGTGTCACCACAAGGGACAGCATAGCCAGATGAGCACAGACACCTCTGCTGAGCCAGTAACCCGGCGCTGGAGCAGCCTTGCACAGCCAGGTCTCATAGAAGACAGGAACCACCAGAGAGAGGGACTCGCAGGACCCGGCATGGCCACAGGTGGCGCAAATGCTCTTGTCACACTAAAAAGTCGCTGAGAAGAGCAGGGGTCTGGAGGGGGTGCTCCCTGGAGGAGGTGCCCTTGGAGTGGCATCTTGAGAAACAAGAGTAGACAACGCACTTGCAATGCCCACGGACCCACACACACACACCTCGACCCCCTGCTGGTTCCCAAGGCCTGGGCCACATATGTGTCGTCCTCCTACCCCCAACCCACATGGGAGGGGTACTTCAAAAGGTGTGTTGACAATGGCATTAGAAGAGTTTATTCTGGTGTAAAAAAATTTTTTTTTGAAACCATGCATAGTTTTTTCATACTGTGCATTTTCCACGAACTCTTGGAAGATCCCTATGCACGTGCCCCTGGGACCCAAGCATCTACCTTCCACCCTGCAGATCTGCCTCCTGAAAATCCAACATGCCCACTCACAAGGCTTTGTCTAGTGGGGGGCCCACGGGAATGGAGGCAAAGCATGATGCCAGAAGGCATGTCCTCATTATGTGTCTGAGGATCTGCGTTCCACCCTGAGCACGGCCTCTGCTCTCCCCAACACAGCACCGCAGAGGAGATGCCCAGAGCTGTTCTGTGACTAATGATCCTAGCCTGTCCGCTGGCTGCCTCCCCAGAGGTCCCTTGGGGTTTTTTACATGCCTCTGAGACCCCCTGGGACTCAATCAGCACATGGCAGGTCCTAGGCTGGCTGCACACAGATACCACTGGGTGTGGTTCCTGCCTGGGAGACGCACCCAAGACATTTGGGGGAAGCAGCTGATTGCATTACAGTGAATGCAGCGCTGGAGTTGGGTGCTTGTGGCAGAGAACACTGGGAGCCGAGAGGAAGGTGCCCTACCCATCTGGAGAAGTGTGGTCCAGCAATTGCTCATAGGAGTAGTCTTGAACGAGCTGGCCAGGGGAGAGGGGCCCAAGAACAGTGACCAGGCTGAGGAAATACCATATGCAAAGACCCTGGGGTAGAGAAATAAAACCGTGCCTTCATAGAATGGAAAATGTTCTAAGGTAGGCTAAAGGCAGGGGCAGAGTGACAGTGAATCTCATTTAGACTTTACTCCAAGGACAAGTAGGGAGCCATAGAGGAATCTAAACCTGGTGTGTGTGTAGGGGTGGGGTGGGATACAAATAAATCTTTATTTTAGAAAGGTCAGTTTGGGCTGGCAGAGTGGACAGAAAGGAACAAGACTTGAGACAGCACGACTCACCAGGAGGTCACTGGGGTTGCCCAGAGGAGACAGGACAGGCCCTGGACTAGGGGCGTGACTGGGGGTGGACACAGGCACAGGATTGGGGCTGGTTGTTGAGGCGTCAATAGAAGCCGGCTGTGGGAACAGCTGTGAGACAACCGACTTAGTGCTGTGTTATAAATGGTGAGGTGCTCTCTAAGGGACAGCAAGGATGCTGATAGAGAGTCAAGGGGTGAATAAGAAGGAAGTGGGGTGAAGCGGAATTTCTGCATGGAGAACCAATGGCATAGGTGAAGACGGCCCCAGATCTCTCCACATGTGATTAGGAAACAATGGGAACCTGCCCTCCGCCGGGGTTTTGGCCAGGCAAGCAGACAGCAGACTAAACTTCAGCCCCCACACACCTCAGGCAGGTGCATTTGTGCAGTGAACAACTTGCACAACAGTTCACAGCACCTTGTGTGCAGAGGCCCCAAGGGAGTGTGGGAAAGAAGGAGTTATGGATGATGCAGGCTCTGCTTTGCTTGTGAGTAGGTGGTGCCGTTACAGAGGTAGGGACCTCAGGAGAAGCAGGTGGGTGATGCTTTTCAGTTTCAAGTAATAGAAACCCCATTCCAACAAGCTTAGACCCCACAAGGGCTGGGGACACCCAGGGCAGTGCCCCACAGCACCTATGGGCCCTGGCAGCTGGGCCTGGAGCCCCTCTCCTCATCCATGCTTCCCCCTCCTCATCTCTACATGCCCCTCCCCCATCCACACTGGTTTCCCCAGCCACTCCAAGGTTACTGTAGATCTCACCCTTGAACCCCAGTTAGAAAATTCCCAGAGAAGAACTCTCATTGGACCAGCTCAGGTCATGAGCTAGGATTTGAACCCAGACCCAGGACGAGCGAGCTCCAGAGGCTGCTCTCTCTCTGTGGACTCTACAGAAATCAGGAGAGAGGAAGTGAGGGAGGGGGGCAGGTAGAGGTTGGGTCGCACCATGGAGGATGGGATGTGAGGTCCCCCCCCCGGCCTGTCCCTGACCTCAGTCCCCCGGTGGTGGGGGTGGGGGTGGGTTGGCAGGGTGGGGGTGAGGAGTTCCAGCTAAGTCCAACTCCATTTGCAGTGTCAATGAAATATTCCTTGTTTGTGGGACCCTTTTTGACCAGGGTTGGATCTGAGGACGTCCCAGGGCCATGTGCTCTGCAGATACACAAGAGCCCTCAAAAAGCTCAAGGAGGGGCTGGCGTCGTGGTGCGCAGCGGGTAAATCCATCACCAGCAATGCCAGCAACCCGTATGGCTTGGGTCCCAGCTCTTCCACTTCTGATCCAGCTCCCGCTAATGCTCCTGGGAAAGCAGTGGAAGATGGCCCAAGTGGGCCCCTGCCACCCACGTGGGAGACTCCAGTGAAATTCCAGGCTCCTGGCTTCAGCCTGGCCAGCCCTGGACATTGCAGCTGTTTGGAGAGTGAACCCGTGAATGGAAGATCTCTCTGTCTCTCTCTCTCTCTCTGAAACTGCCTTTCAAGAGAAAAATAAATAAATGAATCTTTTTTAAAACAAAAAATTCAGGGAAAATGCTCATTGTGAAAAAGCTGGCCATGGGTTCCAGAAATTTTTTAATTTTTTTTTAAAGATTAGTAATTTATTTGAGAGGCAGAGTTACAGAGAGGGGGAGAGGCAGAGTTAGGTCTTCCATCTGCTGATTCACTCCCCAAATGGCCACAACGTCTGGAGCTGGGCCAATTCAAAGCCAGGAACATCTTCTGGGTCTCCCATGAAGGTGCAGGGGCCCAAGGACTTGGGCCATCTTCCACTGCTTTCCCAGGCCATTAGCAAAGAGCTGGATTGGAAGGGAGTAGCTGGGACTTGAACTGGCACCCATATGGAATGCCAGTTCCACAGCCAGAGGCTTAACCTACTACACCACAGTGCTGGCCCTGGGTTTCAAAATGTTTTACACCAAAATAAACTTATCTTTTAATTCCATTTTTCCAAAAACTCTTTATAGTACCCTCGTATGAGATGTGCAAGACTTCTGCATACAAGGATACTTCAAAGGAGTCATAGAAAAATGGAATTAAAAGATACATTTTAGTGCAAAAAATATTTTGACATGCAGAGTGGTTGTTCAGTCTTGCAGCTAAGACACCTACATTTTATTTCCTGGTCCAGCCCCTGACTCCAGTTTCCTGCCAATGCAGACCCTAGGGCGCAGCCGTGATGGCTCGAGTAGTTGAATTACTGCCACCCGCGTGGAAGAATCTGGATTGCAGTCCTGCTGCCAGCTTTAGCCTTGGCCCAGCCCAGCCTTTGTGGGTGTCTGAGGAGTCAACCAGCAGATGGGAGTTTCCACTCTCTCTCTTTCTCTGGATATAGATAGACATAGATGTAGATGTAGACGTAGACGTAGACATAGATGTAGATATAGTTATAGGTATGGATATAGGTATAGATATAGATACAGGTATAGATGTAGATACAGGTATAGGAATGGATATAGATATAAATACAGGTATATATATATAGGTATAGGTATAGATATAGACATAGATATGTAGATATATGTATATATAATGAAAAAGCATGCAAGGCTTCGATTTTTTAATTATTTGAGAGACACACCGAGACAGATACATGTAGGGATTAGCACTTTTCATGAACTGTCTGAAACTCCTGTGTTGAATTTCAAAACTTTTTACACCAAAATGGACTTGTGTCTTAATTCTATTTCCCTCGAACTTGCTGAAGCACCCCGCATGTGCTCACACAAGAGCACCATGGCCCCAGAGGGCCCCACCAGTGGCCGACCCCGTGGAGACAACCAAGCCTGCGGCACAGTGCCCCTCCCTTACCAAAACTCCTTCCAAGGCCCTGTGAGAAGCCTGGTTTCTTCCATTTTTTAAAAAAGGGAGTTATTCATTTATTTGAAAGGTGAGGAGGAGAGGGAGAGAAAGACACAGAGAGAGAGAGAGACAGAGAGAATGAATGTGAGAATCTTCTAACCTCTGGTTCATTCCCCAAATGACCACATGGCTGGGGCTAGGCCAGGCTGAAGTCAGGACCCAGAATTCCATCTGGGTCTCCCCACACGGGTGCCAGGGTTCCGAGCATATGGGCTGTCTTCCTCTGCATTTCTAGGCTT